GGCCGCCAGAACACCAAAAATGGGTGCCGGTACACCCAAGATGGCCACCGGAACAAAAAAATGGCCGCCGGAACACCCAAGATGGCCGCCGGAACAAGGGAAAACATCGGAGAACAGTGAGTTTTGGGCCCATTTGGAATTGGGGTTTTTGATCCGTTTTATGATGTTTTCCCATAGCGAAGGTTAATCCGGAACGGATTAACCTCGCTATGCGGGGCACCACTGTGTTTCCCACTCTCAATACAGATGAATTGAAACACCAAGTGGTTCTTCAATACAGTCCTTGGCACAGAAATACAGAGAAGCATTGGAACTGATATATCTAACTACTTACACCATGCACGCGACACACCCACACCAAAAGGAGCAGACAGACCAATGTGGCTTTCTATCTCTAGGCAGTTCGTGCCTGTCCTTTCAAATATTCCCATAAGACTTTCTTTGACTTTTACCAGCTTCTGCCCTGTTTTTCATGTACCTTTTCAGCAACTAGAGATGAACCTCAGATAGTTTGTTTTTAAAACCAAAAGCCAGGTCTTCTCTGGCTACAAAAATGCTGGTCTGTTTTTTAAAAACTCAACTATACTGCTGACATGTCAGGATTGAGAACAAGGAAGTTGCAGGATACTTCCAGAGGACTTAGTTTCTTAGCCAAGGCCAGATTCATGGGATTTTGTTGTTCTGTAGATATTTATAAATAAAGCTCTTAGCATCAGTATGTAAATAGGCTTCTATTTTTGTTCAGTGCATTGTTTGGGAAAACTAGGCCAGTTATTCAGTAGGAACAGTTTGCTGTTCAGCGCAGAACCTTACCCAGTCCTTGTCGGCTTTTTTGCTTCTTTGCAGGATATCTCTATTGTGTTTTACTTACAAAAGGACTGGCTGTGGTAAGCAAATCCAGGCATCCAAAGACTTTGATACTGCTTTAAATTACAGAATTAGTTTAGGAGCTGCATTTGCTTGAGACCTGTTGTGGCCTATGAGATCTGTGCTTAATGGACAGCTTTGTGGAGCTGAATGCCATGAGCAAGTTTCAGTCCCTTACTTTTGATCCCTGTCTGTAAAACACAAATAGCAAGGATTAACCTGGTAGGGTTTTCTGAAGAGGAACACGAACCTGAGAAACAACAATTTCTAAAACACTTAAGAAGATCATACCTAGTCAATCATTCTTTCCCCGGAGTGGGCAACCAATTGTACATGTTCTGCTGTTCATTACTTTTCTTGTTTTCCATTTCTTATAAATTCCCAACAAACTGATATGTTACAAATAATGGCATGTAATGTGTTAATTCCTATGACTAACAACTACTGCTGGAGTTAACATTTTTTTGTCCTTGCTTAAATCTATCTAGCTTTTTAAAGAATTGTAGCTCAATATTGGTTGCTCCAGCAACTGCAGAATTTAATCTGGCTGTTTTCCACATTATCCTAAAAATTCTTCCAGCACAACCACCAGAAAGATTATTAGCATGATTTAGTTATGATCTTAGTAAACTATCATAATCTTAATGTGATTATATCCTAGATTTAATGAATTTCAGTTAGTTTCATGAGCCCTTGGTGATACAGTTTATGATTTCTGAAATGATTATTGATAAACCCAAATTAAACTAAAACCGTATTTCCTTACCAGATTGTGGATCTTGTCCAACAGGTGCTGTACAGTATGAACTGAGGTGTCCAGATATGCTGTCATTTGGAACCTTGTTTTTGCAAGAAATAAAAATCTATTGTCCAAATTATCCAACTGAAATTTATGGATGCTTTGTGTATATATTGATTACATATACTGTATTATCACCCTATCAGCCAAAACTTGGTATGCTGTTTTGGAAAGCACAGTGGGAAACCAGAACTAGGAGAGACATTATATAAAGCTAGCTTTTATTCTTTCATTTTCTAATATGTTGAGCTAAATTGTTCGATTGGTATCCAGCTGCTTTATTTTGATAGGAGCACTAAGGACCACAGTGGTAAAAAATAATGTTTGTGAATCTTCTCCATTTATGTAACTGTACATCTTTTCACTTGTGTTCAAAGCTCTATTTCCAAGTGTACTTTTATATAATCTATGTTTTTTAAACTTTCTGGCTTTTTAAGTGATCGTTTGATTTTATAAAGGAATGATCTAGCATTTTCTCTTTATTTCCTACTACACCTTTTATTTCTCTTCTTGAGCCTGCAAGTTCAACACCAGCAGGTTGCTTTCCGTGTGTAAGTTTGCAGAGTTCCCTTAGATGATATTTTCCTGCCTGAATTTCCACTGTGATGTGCGAAGTATCTTTGTCAGAACTATTCTGACTTTTATTTACATTTATCTAAACGTCTCCTGAACTTTTCAAAGACCTTTTGATTTGGTTCTGCAAAATTGGAATCTAGATTATATACTGTTAAATTGAAGACTAAAAGAAGTTTGAAAGAGTGTTATCCAGGAAGAAACTGAGAGAAGCACAAAAACATCTTAGCTTTTAAAAAATGAGTTTGCATAAGTATGGCAATTTTGGAAATGAGTTGTCTGAACTGATTAGGATAGCAAAGGTAGTACAGTATATTTAAAATATTGGACTATTAATTAAGGCTATATTTTGTTTTGATTCATAGCATGAGATTTTTAATGAAGGAGAACTTCAGCCAGACAGACACCTAAGTGTGGCTCACCTGGGAGAAAGGCCTAAGATGGAAGACTTTGTGGCCTAATTAGGCTTAGCTCTGCCGAGCTTCCTGCACAGAAAGGAAGCTGCCCTGACTGCTTACTTGCTTTCTACATAGGAATCTAGGCAAGAAGTGCCGGATTCTGCATACCCCAGACTTTTGGAAGACTTGGAGGCTGAGCCTGCAGCTAATGATAGCCTAGCATCAAATCAGAGAATTTGCAACACAGGCTAAATGCATGAGCTCAAGGATTCCAGAGGAATTGCACAGTTGCACAAAAGAGCTCAATAGGAGAAAGTTCTTTCTCTCAGGGAGACCAAGAGACCCTCCTCTGAAGCTGAGTGCTCTCCTGAGCTGATCAAAAGCCTGTTGCTGGATCATACTTCCTGTATGGCTGGATCCTCTGTTACTCACCTTAGAAAGAAATGAACAGGGGGATCACATGCAATGGCCTGAGTTCCTTCAGGACAAAGACAATAGCAACAATTGAACTATAAGGTATAATAGGAAAGGACATAACCATATTCAAACACATTACTTAAAAGTTGTGCTATTTTTAATAAATCACGTAGTAAATGAAAATGATTTTGATTATTTTTTTTTTTAGGCAAAGAGGGGTGATACTATACTGCAGTCCATACAGCAATCCAGCCTAGTATCTACCACAAAACCAACAGGGAGCATCCAAGAGCATAATCAGACAGTCTAGAGATCATGTACAGTTCAATTATCTTTGTCCTGAAGAACCTCAGGCCATTGCACGTGATTCCCCTGTTTATTTCTTTCCAACGGTGGTCTTGTGAGGCAGAACTGTATGAGAGATGGTAAATGGCCCAGAGTCACCCGCTGAGATCCATGACATTGAGGGGATTTGCTTTTGTCAATTTTTGTCTCAAAACAACTCTATAGGTTGCAAATATTGCTTTAATCCGTTTGCAAGCTATGGGTATCCTATTGCAAATTACTTCCATGGATCACAGGGAATATCCACCTATTGTTATTAACTCGTCGTCTTGCTAGTACCTTGATACTTGAATGTTATAATGGTGAGAGGAATCATTTTGCCTATTCACTTGTGAATGCAAGCATGAGTGATATTTTTTTTTTATTTTGACTCAGTAATAAGTGAAAAGGGAAGAGGAGCATCTAGTAACAGTTAGTTAAACAAGTCACTTCAATGAAAAGTACAAAATAGTTCAAGATCAATTTTTTAAATCTTTAAAGTTGTACCAATTTTCATTGCTGCTGAAAATGTTAGAGTTAATCCTGTTAAATCAAATATGGTATACTAACAGTTACTATGGCAGATTTTTTTATTAAGTTAATGTTAGATGTTTAATATTTTCTATATTATTAGTATTCTGATTTAGATATAAATAAATTGTTATGGCCACCTGGTGAAAAAATAAATGAGTGATGGTGTGAGATCCATCCTAATGACTCCTTTTCTAATGCTGCCACAGAATTTGGGATCATTTAACAAACAAAGCTGGTTCTGGGATGATCTGTTGAGTTCTACACTTAAAAAATCAAATCAGTACTGACATATGGTGAGCCTTTTCAAGGTTTTCTTGAAAATACTCTGAGAATACTCAGAAGTGGCCAACCATTCCCTTCCTGGGTGGGGTGGGGGGGGGTTGGGACTATGCAGCTGGCTGTTCTTCCAGGAGGCACGGTGGGGAATGAAAGTCCCAACCTCTGGCTTTGCAGCCTGAAACCTAACCCACTGAGTTATCCAGTCAACTTCAAGTTGCCTTTAGAACTCAGGTGATGACAGCATGAACAAGGTGCATTATTTCAATATGTAATGATTAGAAGAACAAGTTATTTTTTTTTCTGAGCTTTCTTAAAACAAAGAATCCTGCTGTTGCAAGCTCTTTCTGTTGGAACTGCATAATGGTTTACAACCACACATTCATTATTCTAACAACTGAAATTACCCAAATGTGTTCTGTTCTCTATCTGTAAAACATGAGTAATAAATAAGAATATCTGACTGTGTATTATTTCATGCCAAGAATTTTAATATATTTTTTCAGTTGTGAGATTTGCAGAGATGTTTATTTCAAGGGCTGAGGGAATGTAATACTGATGTAAAATGCACATTGACCGTAATTTTCACAAACATTACAAATGCTTCTTGTTTGTGTCTGCTTCCTCTCCCATATAACTCTTGTCAGGTACAATAAGTCTAGTGCAAAAGAGGGCTAAAGATGATTTAAGGAAATTTCCTGTGAATGTGTTGTTGGGGTTTGGAGGATCTACCAAAATGAATGGAAGATCTGAGTGAGAAACATTTATATACCTTTCTTCTCCTTTCTTCCCCTCCCCACCCTCCCTTGTAGCATTCTGTTTGCAGACATTGAAGGTTTCACAAGTCTGGCTTCCCAGTGCACTGCTCAGGAACTGGTGATGACATTAAACGAACTCTTTGCCAGATTTGATAAACTTGCAGCGGTAAGTGGGTTCTATCCCCCTTTCTATTACACCATAATGGTGACTGTCACACTTTACTTTCGTACTTCAAATTTCTATTAAATATCCATTGCCTAGAAAGGTAGCATACCTGAAATAAACAAGGGTATTTTCTCCCTGTTTTGCAGGAGAATCACTGTTTACGTATAAAAATCCTGGGTGATTGCTATTACTGTGTGTCTGGATTACCCGAGGCAAGAGCAGACCATGCACATTGTTGTGTTGAAATGGGAATGGATATGATAGAAGCAATCTCGTAAGTACCACATATTGAGACTAAAAGACAGTAAATAAATAGCAAACGCATCTGGGTATGTGAATGTGTTTGTTTAAATTTTTACCCCATTGATCTAGTGATCAGGTCACTAGTGTGGGCAGCTTATGATATCACAACATAAACATAAATGAAATTCAATAATAAACATAAAATGAAAGCAGGAATGAAAAGAAACCCAAGCCCATACTAACTATGAATGCAAGGCAGGGGTGGGCAATTAATTTCTGTAGGGGGGCCACATGAAAAATCTGTTTGAGGGCCAAACAAACTTTACTTAAAAATAAAATGAAACAGTGATGTTATGGTTGTTTTTATTTTAAACTTGTTAATCTTCACAAATACTAAAGTGGTTTTTTGCGGTATATTAAAGATAAGCAACTGATCAACTTTAGACAAAAAGCTATAAATGGTTTTGATGTTCAAAACAGAGCGGCTCACGGGCTGTATGTGGCCCGCGGGCCACACTTTGCCCAGGTCTGATGCAAGGTAACAAACAATGGTGGCTGAAGAGAGATGCAATAATCATAATCGTAATCCTCAAGTAAGGCCCATTTAAACAACCATGTCTTCAGTTGTTTCTGAAGCCAAGGGGGAGGGGAGAGAACCAATTCCACCTCAACTGGGAGAGAATTTCCACAACAAGGCGGCCGCCACAGAGGGCTCCTTTCCTAGTACAGTGGTGCCCCACATAGCGAGGTTAATCCATTCCGGATTAAGCGTCGCTATGGGGAAACATCGCTATACGGAATGGAAAACGCCATAGAAACGCATTAAACTTAGTTTAATGCGTTCCTGTGGCTCTTAAACTCACCGTTCTGCGAAGTTTCTCCATAGCGCCGCCATTTTCGCGCCCTCGGTAAGCGAGGGCAGGGCACAAAAATGGTGCGGGCGGCCATTTTCTGCACCCGGCGGCCATTTTGGAACCGCCGATCAGCTGTTCCCAAAATGGCCGCCCGGTGCAGAAATGATCGCCTATCTAAACATCGCAATGCGATCGCATTAGCGACCACAAAAAACCGGTCACTATGCGGATTCGTCATTAAACGATGTGCTCATTAAGCGAGGCACCATTGTAGTTGATTTCCAGGCCTCCTTCTGAGTGGCTACCCATAATATTCCAGATCGGGAGATGTGGATGAGATGCGAGGGAGAAGCAGTCAGACAAGTAGCAAGGTTTTTAAACTATTTAGTGCTTTGAATGTCATCATAGGCACCATGAATTTGGCCTGGAAGCATACCAGCTAAATTTATATTTCCAGTTAAATCTGCATCTCATAAATCACATTCCACTTTAGCAAGGCAATATTTAGTCAAGACAAACGACTGCAAACTCCCTGAAACTAAAAGCTGTTACCAAGACTGAAAGGTGGGTTAAGATGGCAGTTAGGTTCAGCTTGCAAGAGTGATGGGTGCCTATGAACGTCAGGGGTTTCTGGAAGCTAAAGTCTGTAAAAGTAACTTTTTCAAGCTCTGGATGGGACATCAAACTGGAATATATAATGACATTATAATTTATTTTAGTTGATGTTGCTCTGGAAGCATTTGCCTAAAACCATGACACTGTTAGACGACTGAAGTGGTCTTAGTAAAATATATTGGGCAAAATTCCAAGCATTGTAGACATTTGATTGTCAACCTAAATCTTGTTGATTTCAGTAGAAAATGAGGACCTCTTTTTCCCCCCAATATATATAGAGTATCTCAATACCAAGATAAACCATTTTGTTCTTGAGAGTTTTCAGTACTTTGCATTCATACCAAGTGGGTACTAAAAGCATAAAGTGCTTCCTAACGTGTCCAGCAGTTATAATGACTATCTGCATTCTGATTTTTATTACCTTCATTTGTCTGAGAAGTGTTCTCTTTTCATCAAAGAAAGACGGAGGCAGTGAGAACAGAAAGTCTCTCACTCCAGATTTAGCGAAGATATAAGATTGTTACAGCCTTTTCATCCCACACAAAGTGGGAGCTAGGTTTTTGAAAGCTGACAGGGAACAATTTGTAAACAAAAAAAATAGAGGGCACTTCTGTGCTTCAGTATAAAACGCACAACAGCTGTGTAGAAATGCCATAGAACTTCACTTACGGCACCCGATGAACTGGAGAGCAAGCATGCATTGCATTGTCTCAAGGCCAAACTAGACAAAATGCCCACCCACGCAATTCCTAATTACATGAATGGTGTCTCACCAGGAGTGGCCCTAAAGGTAAGCAGCAAGGGGGTGGACACTTCCTAAGCTTGTTTCCTAAAGAAGCTATTGAACACTGTCATTTTCAGTAAAGATAACAGGCAAGTTGCTTTCTCTGTTGCTTTATGCATCAGGGAGCTGGACAGGGGACAGATTGCATTTGTCTTCAGTGTGGAAGGTATTGTCACTCTCGAATTGGCCTTCTCAGGGTTCCAAGGGTCCCAAATAGAGGTCTTGGATGCTATTCCAAGACCTCTATTCAGAGCACGTTCCCATAGTCTCTTGAGATTGAAGGATGCCTACTATGCGTGTTAAAAGAAGTGATTCATCAGTAGGTGAAATTACTCCCTGATTGACTGAGGCCAAATGTGTCATCATCAGGTTGTCCAGTCTTTTGCTGTGCTGAAGAGCAGACATTTCCACCTCAGAAGATTGCTCATATCTAACTAGTCGTATTTCAAAGTAACTTTTCTGACTTTTGCTCTTTCAAGATACAGTACAGGTTTTCCCATCTCCTTTGCAGTGATATTCCCCTACTGAAATCAGTGTGATTTCAGTCAACTAACAAATGCTTACATTGTGTTTATTTTAATGAATCCCTGGAAATTTTGTGCAATATCTTTTAATGCAGTTTTAAACTCACAACATAAGGCTCTTTTTTTTTCAGTCTGTATATTCTGGCCAAATCCACATGTCATCTGAGCCACAGTTTTGGGTACCCACAGTTTATTGTTTTAGCTATGAATGATCTCTCAGGAAGCCAAACAAATTACAAACCATTCCGCTTATTCCTATTCCATTTATCTCCAGTTTTTTGTTTTCGATTTCTATTTCAGAATGGGGAGCTAGTGAAACAAGCCAGAGACAAGTCATGATTCTGAGTTTAGGCGTAACAAGGCATGATAAAAACAAAACAAAATATATAGCCCAATAACAAATCATGGTTTCCGGTAATGGTTTATGACTGACAAATTATGATTTGTACGTATGGGTGTGGGAACAAGTGAGAATTCAACAAACTACAACCTGGTTTACTGTTACATGCAAAGGTAGCCTGTGTGATTTCAAAATGTGGCAGCAGTTAAGAAGTGGACCAGTTAAGGAGTGAGAGAATATATACCATATTTTCCATTTATAAGACTATACTTTTGTCTAAAATATTTAGTATAAAAATTGAGGGTTGTCTTATACACAGAAGTAAGCTTAGGAGAGAACAAAAACAAGTGGAAGGGAAAGCAGGGATCAAAGTGATCCTGCAGGGCTTTGATCCCTTTCCCCCTACACTTGCTAAGTCCCACTTAGATTTCTTACTTTTGGGTTAGAAAAGTGTGGGGGGCATCTTATACATGGGGCGTCTTATACATGGAAAACATGGTATGTTATTTGAAATTGTTCATAGAATGCTATCATATGCACAGCTGTGGCCTTTTGCTCCAAAATGAAATGTAAATTTATGAAGATTTACAAAGAATCTTTCTTAGCTGTGCAAAATATGTGTGCACTTCTTGAAAGCTACAGATGAGTTACCTCCCATACATAGTTGATGCCTATATTTTGCTCAGGCCAGCTAGTTTTTATCAGCCTAGATTCAAGAATATCTGCTCCTGCTCATGAGGCCATGGATGTGTTCTGTTACAACCACCACAGATATAACAGTGATACTGAATTCTATCTCACTTGATTACTTGCTAGGCAGTTGAGGTAGACCAATGGGGAGATCCCCATCTCTCCAGTTTCCATCTGATCCAGAAATAGCATGCCAAGCAGAGAAGTGTATGACAAACTGATTAGTTTTATTTGTTTATTTATAATATTTATGCCCTGCCAAAAGATCTCAGACAGATTAGAACAAGAAACATAAAACAATTTAACTATTTAAAAAAACGCAAAGAATTGTATTTTTATAACTGAACGTTACAACCTACTCAAACCAGATCCTTAAACTTCAAAGACATTCATGTTGGTGCCTAGACAGGGCCAATGTTGGTGTCCTTGATAGGTACTAAAGTATTAAAAACAATTAAGGTATCAGTGAGGTGGAACATTTGCTAACTCAATATATTTTACAAGCCAAAGGACTGTTTTATGGTGAACCTACTGCACAAATATTTCTCCAATAATATGTTAGTATTAATGTGAGTCAGGGAAAGGAGGGTATGTAATAACAGTAAGGGAAGAGAGTGTGCATTTTGAATAAGAAAAGGCAAATTAAAGAACAAAAGCTCTGTCTGCCTGGGAAAAGATTCTGAAGAACCCAGTCCTTCTGGGAAACTGCTAGGCTTAGTCCTGCAGTTGCAGTAGGTTTAAGTGAATTAACTATAATAATCTAATAATCTTAGAAGTGTAAAACTGGAAGAGACTTTCTGGATCACTGAGTCCAGTCACTGTCAAAGAGGCACAAAGCAGAATCAAACTCAACTCTGGCTCCACAACCAAATACCTAAAGGGTGTTGAAGTGAATGATCTCAGTACCTAATATTGCACCAGGTGCCCAAAATGAATGACAGCAATAGTGGCAGAATACCTTTTCCTCACTTACCTACCCGAATATCCAAAGTCAGAAAAATTAAACGCTAAAAGACAATAATATTTTAAGTTTTTCCAAAGTTGAATCAATATTAAATACATTTTGTGTAAACATAGAAGAGTCTGTTTAATTTTAATCACTTTGCAAGGTTTTTTGGCTCAAATACTTACCTACCCAAATATCCAAAGTCAGAAAAATTAAACGCTAAAAGACAATAATATTTTAGGTTTTTCCAAAGTTGAATCAAATATTAAATACATTTT